CGCCAAAACAAGTTGGCCGCAGTGCAAAAGCGTCGTTTTAAGCTTTAGATAGTGCCAAAGTTCCTCAGATGAAACACACATTTTTTTATGAAAGTTATAAATGTAATTTCCTTAAAATTTTAAAAGTCATGAGCTTAAATTGCGCCAAAATTCTGTAAAAATTGTAAAAATAAGAGCCAATAAGTTTTCCAGGAAATTAATTTTAATCGGAGGAATTTGACAACGCTCGAGTGTTCTTGCGACGTTTTTCATAACGCTCCAGTATTGATCACCAAGCACAGAACGATGTTACCGCTAATAACGCCTTGATACAACTATTCGAGCTCTATGGACATCCGTGTTGCGTCCTAAAAATTGAAGGCGCTCTGGTTATGCTGGCCCATTCAGCAGTGCTCGCAACGACACGCTGTGACGACTATGCCGTTGTGGCGGTTGTATGCAACATTGTGCCTCGTGAAAACGACGCGAAAACATCGTCTCCTGATGTGTCTGTGTTAATTTTATCAGAGGATTTAATTTTTTCGCATATTCGTCACGGCGCGGCGCACTAAAAGCACTGCTTCATGGACAAGAGTATCCGGAGCGCCTTCCATTTTTTCATATGCAACACGCGTGTCCATAGAGTACGAATAGTTGTATCATGCAAGGAGTTAGTATCAACGATATTCAATGCGTTGCTTATGATGACTGAGATGATGGGATAAAGGTCTCTCCCGTCTTATTCTACCCGAGTGTCGTTTATTAAATTTGTCTCTAAGAAATGCTAATATTTTGAAGTTCGTTGGTTTAAAAAAAAAAACAATATGCTATATTATTTTATTTTATGGGATGCAATTTTATCACTTAATATCAATTGAGAACGAAAACTGTTGTTTTGTTAACATTACGATGCAGCGACCAGTCGTGATACAGCGCTGCAAATTTCATGCAAGGTGTCTCAGACCACCCATGCAATGCTTTTCCCCCCGTTATTTTAGGTCAGACGATGTTTGGAACGGATAGTTGGATATGGGTATGAACCCCTGGTACATATCGGATTTTCGTAGTTTCGAAGTCCCTATGATTGGAATACATTTTTGAAAATCTTGCGGACAGCCTGATCTCCTAAGTCGTATGTTTGTCGAAGACAATTAGTCAAAACAGGCATTTTACCAAATGCCTGGCCGGTAGTCAAATGTTTACAATTTACGAAATTCTGTAAAATGGCGAGGAGTTCACGGGTTTTCAATATTTTTGGGGGGAATAAATAACTCTTAAATCCGCGAACTCTCGTTGTTCCTTCCTTTTTACATGCCTTTAGCACATTTAAGTGTTAACATTTTAAAAATTCTATGTTTTATGACGCGCTGAAAATTTCATGATTAATGTGTATTCAGGGTCTTAAAATTATGCTTAAACTACTATTGTATGCTGCATATTTTACAGATAATTCTCTCTTGGAGCAACGAATTATTTTGTCTAAGATTATTATTAAAAATCAAAATTTCAATCTAAGTAAGAATTTTTGACCACTTGCCTGTAGGCATTTCACAAAATGCCTGATTTGACTAATTGCCTTTGACATCTCGATCAATCTGGAAACTCCTAGCGACCCGGCATCCCCGGCCGAAGCTAGGAGCGGCACCGTGCCGGAGCATCCCGGAATCCAGGATGCTGCGGCGGCATCGGCAAGCGCGAGTAGTCCAGAGTCAGGGTCGCGCTGTTGCCGAACCGGCGCCTTTCGCGACGGCCCAGACCCTGACTTCCGGCGCCGCCTGGCAACCCCGGGGCCGGAGTGCAGTGGTCCCGCAGCCGGCGCGCGTCTCGAACGGGTCTCGACTCCCCCGTCCTCCCGGTTGCCACGTCGGGAACCCCCCGGCCCCGGGGGTGAGTTCGGCAACCCTGCGAGTCTTCCTCTTGAGTCCCGAGAGTCCCGACTCGGAGCCGGTTGCGAGGGTCCCGGCGTCTTCGAGTCAATACCGGTCAACCCAAGACCAGGAGGGATCCTCGCATGAATAGATTATCGCAGATGTGTCTTTTCGGTTATATTGTCAGAATGGCCAGTGTTAAGAGGAATTATGAATACCAGGAGTAGTCAGAGAAAAGTTTTCTTCCAAGTTTTCTTTTGCTCTTGGGCACAGCGTCCAGGACCTGAAAAAAACCAGGGAATTCAGGGATTCGTCCAAGAATCAATATCAGGAGATATCGGGGAATTCGTGAGAGAATTGGTGCTAAAAACCGAAGCTCCAGGATTCGTTCTACCCACCTTAAAATAGAGATTAAAATATTTTTAAAAGTAGTAGGTTGAGTTGGCTTAGCTTTACTGAATCCGGCCAAAGATAGAAAAGTTTTTTTTTTCTTGTTCTCTCAAAGGGAATCTACCGGCAAATAAGGGAAAATTTTAGGTTCTCATGCGAGTAGTCTCCGCAAAAATCGGAGAGATATCAGGAATGGACAAAAAACAAGAATTCTAGACAACATGATGGGAAAGAAACGAAATGATCCAGGATCTAGAAAACTTTCGGTTACGAAAAGGGGCAAATTTTTACATGCCACCTCAGATATTCGCTAAAATCTTAAATTCATTTCTTTATATCATTGCCTAGAATATAAAAAGTTAGGAAATTTTCGCAAAATTGGAAAGTCAAGGAATTCCAATTCCAAATTCGATTAAAGTACCACCAATGATTTCCTTCTTATTGGTCGTCGAGAACTATTCCTGTTAAGCTAGACTCAGTCAGTGAAACTTTGCCCTTGGCGAGGCGTGAATGATCGGTTATCGATTTCCCCCAATTTTAAGCCATGGTTAAAAATGTATTATTAGGGTGTTCGTTGCGAACATCTTGTTTATCGATCCCTTTCTGTAGGTTTAAATGGTAGATCAATCGATAAATCGCAAAGCACACCGCTGAACTTAGCGTGGGCACTCTGTTCAACAGGCGATCATTTGTCCCATCAGCAGACCATAAGTAGGTGCTGTGTTACCTATTACAAAATCCTCAACCCTTGAAAGAAATATCCCCATTTTTCCCGAGATACCAGTGGTGAGTCTGAGAATCCTTCTGTCCCTTCTATTTCAGGATAATTCGTCTTTTTCTGGTAATAATACCACCGAAAGATTCGTTTCAAAATATTTCTTAACAAGGAAGAAAGTAAGGTGTTGAAGGTGTGAGAGAACATGACAACGCCGTTTTCCGAAGTCAAGCCTTTATGCGTTTGGGCCGAAAGGAGTAGTGGGATTTATGCTCAACGCATGCTCGTCACCCGTTACGAGTGCTTAGCTTTTCTCTTCCGTTCCGCGACATTCGATACAAGCTCCAGAAGGACTTCCACCGTTTCAAGATGGGCATAGAACAGGCCCCGTCACGCATGTCAGGGCACTTCGACAACACTGCCGTGCTAAGGAAGAGCGCCGTATGAACCTTCAGGCGTTGCCAATTTTCCTTTGATAAAAAACTAGTTTCCTTGTAAACTTATGAATATTTTCCTTCCAATTTTTCAAATAATTTCGTTCGCAATTTCACCTAAAGTCCCTGAAATTTTCAAGGAAAAATATTCATATCTTTTCTAAAAAAATAAACATTTAATGAAGGAAATTTGGCAACTCTCGAATGTTCATACGGCGTTCTTCCTTAGCTCTGCAGCATAGGTTAAGTGAGGAATTTGCCAGTCTCCCTCGAAGGAGCAGTTTCCCCGGAATTCGGTTTTTGAACTTTCAACGGGAAACTCTTGCTTGCGTCCCCAAAGCCGTGAGCGGTTTATTTAATGACTGTGCCATTTGGAGGCGTTTAGTGGTACTATATTAAAACAATTTTGCGCTCTGAATAGGACGGATCAGAACTTTAGAAAAGCTTTCCTCGAAACCAGGGGTATAGAAAATATCTGATTTCGCGAGCTTTGGATCGCGGCAAACCATGGGTCTCGAGGCAACTTCCAAAAGTGAGAAAGTGTTTTTACTTTCTTGCTTCCCTCGGGGGTGGAGAAAGTCATAGTTTTCTCCTTTTTTTCTACGTGCAAGCCGTGCGTCAAAAATGCCGAATCGCGGCAAACTGCCAGCATTTTGTAGCTTTTTCCACCTTATTTTGAAACCACTTACAAGTTTTAAATTTTTAGCTTCAAATAAATTGGTCGAAATATCCGAAATTTGGTCTCACGTATTTTTGAACGGCGCCGGTCAAGCAGTAGGTAGTATACCGAGGCATTACAACATGTTCACCCCGATGAATGATACTTACTTGCACTGAGGTCCCAGTTATGGGAATAGTCCTTGCACTCACTTGACAAATGAAGTACAGGTTTTTTACCTGGACTTATTTGTATCTAAGTACTCAGTAGCAAAAGTGCTTTATTAAGCTGTGCAACTTACGCTCTTCAGATCTTATCGTTAATAGCAGAATACTCTAGAAAGATAAACCTCTTGCAATTCAAGTTAGGTGAAATTTCAGTGGACGAACAGTTTGACAGAGAATATCCGGAAAATTGCAAGCTTTCAGTGATTTACGTAGAATAGCTGTTGCCAATAACACGCACGATTATCCAGTGCATTGTGGCTGAGAATATTTTTTTACAAAAGCATGCCCCCGTCAAAGTATGTAATTTTGTTATTTTTCGCATTTTTATCTTTGATTCATAAATTTTTCCGAATATTTTAATGTTTACTTGCCATTTAAATTGCTGAATTGTTTATCTGCCTCCTAGTGTTCTGCTTTCCCTCTTAAAATTGTAGGAGCCATCTCGTTCGGAAACCCCAATTTTTAGGAGCCATCTACAATTTTTTTGGAGCCAAATTATTTTTTTGCACGTGCATCATGCATTGGCGTATGGAAAAATTTGAGAAAATCTACAGGGCACGTCAACTTTCTTAGGCGCCCGATGGCCCAGCGCCCCCCCCCCCTTTAATAGGCGCCAAATCCCGAGTTGTAGGCTCATGGCGCCGGAGGAAGGCAGAACAATGACTGTCTCTGAATCATGCTTCTCCATTTCTTTGGCTCGTTTTTAATTTTTAATTTTACTATTTTCAGGTTAGACAAGAAAACAAAAGATCTAGCTACAGCAGAAAGAGCTCTAAGTGCGGTACAGAACAAGCTAAATGACATAACAAACAGATATGACCAATGCCAAGGGGAACGGAAGAAATTTGCAGACGAACTAAAGGTAATTTTAACCTTTAAATTATCAACCATTTTCTAATGGAAATCGCAATTTTTGCACAAGCTTAGTTTTAACATTAATCAGCGAGGGAAAAAACATTATGGTCTCTTATGGGTGTCTAAGATATAAAGAAAAGCTCGAGCTTCAAAAAGTCTTGAAAGAGATGTCCCACGTTATGTCAACAGGGTAAGTAGTTCAAAAAAGTGCGAAAAGAGTAAATAAGTCAAAATTAGGTATGCCTACTTTTTGTTTTGTTTTTGGGCTGAGAATTGCCGAATTTTACTTTCCACCTAAAATGTGATCCATAATACTGGACTCTCTGCATAACAATGAGAATTTATGATTTGAAGGCATGACATTTTTGCAGTAGCTTTGCCACAATGAGCATCCACAAAACTGAGTCAGAACTCAAAATAATTGGAAACTTGAGGTAATACACCTTACAAAACTTTCTTAATTATTTTAAGTTAGTAAATGCATACCAATATGTGTTGAGCGAATGTTGAAGTAAAATAAAATTCCATTTTGTTCCATATTTTTTCCTCTGTCAAGTTTTCATAAAATGGATTATGTTTTTGTCTTTTTAGGTTGTAGAAAAAGATCGTGACAAGCTCAAAAGACAGCTTGTCGAAGTCCGTGAGAATTTACAAGCTGAAATGCTAGCCCGCGTTGATGTGGAGAACAAACTTTTGACAGCGCAAGAAGATTTTGTTTTAAAGGAGCAAGTATGTATTTTTATCACTGATATTTGTTGAAGTGCCGTAATTTTCACTTAATATCCACAAATTCAATGAAATTTCCTGAATGCACTTAAAAAGCATTTATTTTTACATTCTTTTGATGTGTTGTTCATGACTATTAGGTAGTTCAGTTTTTTTTTTCATATCAGAGAATTCTTAATTATCAAATATTGGATTTTCTGTGCGTCATCAATTTTTTCATGAAAGAGAAAAAGAGAGACCCCTTATCATGCAGAGCAGAGGATAATTATGGATGAAGGAAAGTGTCCATTTTTCAAATTTTCCCATCTTGCTTTGAAGATTTTATCTGCTACCCAATTTTTATGCGTTTGCTCAATTAATAATTATTTTTTACGACACTCATTAGTTTCTTAACTTTGCAGGTGTTTGAAAGAAGATTACAAGAAACGCAGGTTCAACGGAAAACAGAAATAACAGAGATTGATGGACGATTAAGTCAAGAATACGAAGAAAAACTTCTGAAATCTCTGCAAAGCATCAGAGCCCAATATGAAGCAGATCTGAAGAAAAACAAAGATGAAATTAAATTGTATGAGGAGAAGGTGAGTGCACAAGTCTGTAGGCTAATTTGAAATGCAAGAATGCGTTCGAAGGGTTTTGAATTTGTGAGAGTTTTCATTTTAAGAAATTCAGAGTTTTCAAGGTATAAATTATAGAAGCCAAAAGATTTCAGAGGCTAAGATTGTGCAAGAAAGAAGTGAAAACCTTGATTTTTTGATGAAAACTCTCCTCGCCAAGAGTATATAGGCTATGGTATTACTTACACGACTTGTAAAAAATCAATGTGGTGTCACCTTTAGTTTTATCGTCAAGAATCTACTGCTTGTATGACTTAAAATTGTGACTCAGTGTATAATAAGGGTGTAACCGTTGCTTATATAAATTCTTCACTCATTGTACTATCCAACAACAACAGCTTATCGAATTGAGACTGATGTAGTAATTAATTTTCAAAAACTTTAGTTTTCTTTTAAAGAAAAGAAATCAAAATTGATTTACCAATATTTGATTTTTGACATTGAAGTTAAAATGAGTAAGATGAAAAATATATGCTAAAATTTTTTGAATTGACTGAATGACTTTTTCCTCTCCTTGAATTTATTAGGTTGTAGTTGTGAGAAGGTGGAAGGGTTGATTTTCAATTCCAATTTATCAGGGTTTCCAAAATAGCTGATTTCCTCTAGGTATAAAGGAAGATAGTCCAGTTACATCAATTTTGCGGCTATTCAGTTTTACTCATTTCTCCTCATAAATTAACCATAATCGGTAAACTTTAATTAATTTTTTTTAATTTACAGTTGAATAGAAACGCAGAGGTCAGTTCCAAAACAAATGAGGAGTTAAGACAGCTTAGAACCAGTCAAGAAATCACTAAATCTAAACTCAGAGAATTTGAAGCCAACAACGACTTATTGAAGGTAAGTACTAAATACATGTTTTTCTCAAAAAACTCTGTAGAGTGAAATTCCTCCATTAGATTATTTTGAGCGAACATTTTTTTAAATTTGCATAATATCTTAGTAGCAATCATATTCAAAATTCTTATGATCTAATGACAGTATTCAGAATACTTACCTGAAAGTTATAGAGCATTAAGTCAGGGATTTGAAGCGCCTCATGAGGTTATGCCGTACAGCATCGGCTCGCAGCTTCAGCATTAATGCTGTATGCCCAGGCGGGCATGCGGCGCCGCGCCTATTGCACGCAACCTGCCGGCGCCGGCTTCGGGCATCGAAGCCCAATGTTGACGTGCTGGCCGAGCCGGCATTAAGCGCTGATGCTGAGGTTTGATGCTGCGTAAGGGACCTACATGCGCTTCAACTTTTGATACCAGACCCTCGGCTCGCGGCCCAATACGGCAGGAGGGTATGGATTCGATCGACATGAATCGATCGAAAAATGAAAACGTGAATCGATTGACATGAATTGATCGACACCGATTCGATCAACAAATTGTTAAAAAACCGGTGTCGATTCGATTGACATGAATCCATCGAAAAATGAAAACGTGAATAGATCGACACTGATTTCATCGACAGTTAATTTAAAAACACCTGTATCAATTTAATCGACATGAATGAATTGAAAAATGAAAACGTGGATCGATCGACACCGATTCGATCAACAACCGTGAATGGATCGACAAACCCGTGAATGGAACTACAAATCCGTGAGTCGATCGACAAACCTGTGAGTCGATCGACAAACCTGTGAGTCGATCGACAAACCTGTGAGTCGATCGACAAACCTGTGAGTTGATCGACAAACCTGTGAGTCGATCGACAAACCTGTGAGTCGATCGACAAACCTGTGAGTCGATCGACAAACCCTTGAGTCGATTGAATTTTGTCGATCGATTCACGTTTTCATTTTTTGATCCATTCATGTCGATCGAATCGATATGGGTGTTTTTAAATTAACTGTCGATCGATTCATGTCGATCGAATCACGTTTTAATTTTTCGATCGATTCATGTTGATCGTATCGACACCGGTCTTTTAATAATTTGTCGATCGAATCTGTGTCGATCGATTCACGTTTTCATTTTTTGATTGATTCATGTCGATCAAATTGACACCGGCTTTTTAACAATGTGTCGATCGAACTGGTGTTGATGGAATCCATACCCTCCATACGGCATCAATTTTCGATCCCGCGCCCCAGCTTCATTACCGACGGGGCTGTCCTAGAAAACTGCCGTGGTGTGCGACCCTTGAACTTTGCAATGAATTCGCTGAACACCCCTTTGTCTACGTTTCCCATTGGCGCGGCGGCCCACGCCTCGCCAAAAAGTTCTAAGAAGTACACGCTCAGGAAGGGTTGAAAACACAGCCCGATGCCATTAGCTGCCCGGTAGCCTGGCCCGGGGCGCTGGCGTCCGACGTGTCTTAAAAGACGAGGCCGCTTTACTTTTGATGCTGGGTACCCAGCATCAAAAAGCCATGCCGGATGTTGGCTTCACTAGGTTAAGCCGCCTCCTGGGCAAATGCGATCCCCCGGCGCACTGTCCGATGCGGCATGAAAGTCAGCGCCGGATATCCGCCTTGCACGCCGATGCCGCTGCATTTATGACGCTGCCTCAAGCCTCAGCTCCAAATCCCTGCACTAAGGAGTTAGTTGAGAGTTAATAAATCACTCTATAAGGGGGAAAAGAAGAAGATAAATGGTTCCTCCCAAAATATTCTATAGTTGGATGCTCATGTAGAATCGCAGTTCTATGAATCAAGGATTAAGACCGTTCAAGGATAATAATTTGACTTCATTTTGCAATTAGGAGCTACAATTTCCACCTTAATTGTGAAAACATTTATCTGCATGTAAAAACTTAGGGCGTATACGATGTTTATAAAGTGAGCTGACAATTGTAGTTTCAAAATGCTAAATGTAGTCCAATCAATGGACCAATTGGTTGGAATGACTTGTGGAATATGTGAGAATAAGTATTGAAAAATCTTCAAGTATAGTTTTGATAATTTTTACAGGGGACAAAATTGCTGCAGTGCAAATGTCGCTATCTGCTTTTAGAGGAACTGTATCTTAATAGGTCTTTTGGTGCTGCTGTTATGATAAAAACTTGACTCTGGTAAGGTTGCACGCTTACTGTCTTCGATGTTGCCAATGCCAGTTGCTACAAGATACATGACTAAATCTGTTAAAAAAAGAAACAAACTAAGAGCTTTGAATGAATTCCAATATCAGTTTTTAAGCTAACTCCATGTTTCCTTTTATTTTTCAGAAAAGAGTGAAAGATCTTGAAGGTTTGCTAGAGCAGGAACGAGAAAATTATCTGGCCGAGTATAACAAATTGACAGGTGAAATTGATAATCTCCGAAAAGAAATGGCTGAGCAGCTGTCTGAATACCAAGACCTGATGGAATGCAAAGTAGCTCTTGATCTGGAAATTGCAGCGTACCGCAAATTATTGGAAGGAGAAGAATCAAGGTAATCCATTTTAACCCCTTTCCCTAAGTTTCTATATCTTCCTCTCTCCCATGTCAATGGGCCAAGATAAGCTCTAAACTAGAAAAGAATGTACATGTTTTCTCTTCACAATCTTACGCAGAAAACAAGTCACAAGATGGGAACTTCATTGACAACTCCTAAATGAGATACATATCGACAAATATTTTCAACACAAATCAAGTGGATGTCAAATAATTACCATATAATGCCGTTTCCACTTTTCCCATCTAACCAATTTTAATGGTAAACACTTATCTAGCTGTTTCGGAGTCAATTTCCAGACTTCTAGTTATGCAATTTGTTTTCATTAGTCTAGAGGCACATTAGATGACAATAAGTAGGTTTGGAACTAACCACATCAGTTTTGAAAAAAGACTCATCTGCAATCAGGTCAGGTAAAATATGTCGAATTTGGATGTTTACGCAAATGAATGATGATTGGCAATCGCTACAAAATCAGTGGAAAGAAGGAGCATGGGTAAATCCCTGAAGTCTTTTTTGGAGATCTAAATCTTTTAAGTTTTTTTAATCCTCTCGTAGATATGTCTGTTCTCCCAGACGCAGTTCTTGCTTACGTAACTTTTACCCGATCAGAAAAAGTGTTGAAGGGAAAGTGATCTATCTGCTCCAAGCTACTGTATTGACTATTTAATGTGCAGTTTTCAATTTTTTGTAGGAGTTGAACAAAGTCTCTCCAAAATTAGCCTCCATAAGTACAAGTATATTCAAGTCAAATGCAACCTTAAAGTAGTTGGGTTACCCTTAAGAAGGCTACATGAAAGTATGTGTCCTGCATTGCTGTAAGTGTCCGATTAAAGAGTGCAGCAAATGAAGGAGTCACATGAAAAAACACTTTCATATTGAAAATCTTCGTGGAAGTTAATCTGCCTCCAAGCATAATATCAGTTTTAGCATTCAATTTTTTTACAAAGTTTATTCAACGACCAGTTTTAGATTTCACGGAAAAAACAAAAATCTCAATTTTTTTTTAAAAAATGTCATCCAACTCCTTAATCCATGATAGGCTATTATATTTTTATGTACACCACTGTAAACAGATGGAACCCAGAAAGAATTTTGAATTAAGTAAAGGAGGAAATCAAACTAAGGTGTTGAAATAATTTGAGTTCTTGATGGCTTTTGAAGATAAATTGTCATCTATAACTGCTTCAAAACAATTATCTTTGTGGTAGAGAAAAAGGATATTCCTAAAATTGTGGAAAATTCTTCAGTGCTATTTTCTCTCTCGCATAGCCTTCACCCGTTTTGAATGAAGTAGAGCTAACTAACTTGTTCTCTAATACTGTTCGGAATGTATCGGCAATGTGAAGACCTTGTTCTTTTTTCAAATAGTTAAATTATTTTTTTTTTTTTTCACCAAATCCACCTTATGAAGTCGACACTCTCAATTTTTATGTTAACACATTTGCAATTCTTAAGTTAGTAAGTTTTGTCATGTTTCCACATGGTAATTTCTTCTCTTTTAAAAATAATTTGGCAGGAATAACAATGTTGAAGTTTCATAAATCGTAACTTCTTTGTGTGTTGATTACAGATTGAACATAAGCCCTGTGCAGTCCCCAGAAGTGGGCCATAGTTCATGGTTCCCGTCATCCTACCAACCGACTCCCTCTGGAAAAGGCAAGAGGAAGAGGACTTTCCTTGAAGAGTCCGACGAAAGTGCCAGCTCAGGATACAGCATCAAAAGCAGTGCCAAGAGCGATGTAGAGATTTCAGAAGTCGATTCTGAAGGAAGATACATCAGGTTACTCAACAAGGGAGATAAGGTATGTTCCTGTTAAAACAATACAAACAATGTCTCAAGAAAGCTCTCTGAAGTCAACTGGTGAAGATATTGAAATCCGGTTTCCAAAAACTTTTGGCTTATTTCATTAATTTTCTACTTCCTAAGCTATCATGTTTGACGGCTGGTTGAGACTAAGGTTGAGGTAAGTGGGAGAGCAGGATTGATTTAGAAATAACTATTGACTCAACTATTGCATTGAGATTTATTAAGAAATGATGAAGACCTGGAATCGTTACAAATTATGAAAAAAAGGATCTTAGATGTTCTCTGGAGCACTATTGGGAGGCTGTGCAAGTCGTTAAAAATTTTCTAAAGATGTGAATAGTTCCAAGTCTGGGACTGAAATGAAGTCCAAAAGTCTTCTTTTAGCGAAGCCCTGTAAAAAGAGTTATCAGCGCATCCTCTTAATTGCCACAGTGATTAAAAATACATATAAAGAAAGATGCAGGCAACTGAACTCGCCACAGAGTGAGTGAAGCTTACTTGCGGCTTGAAATTTAGGAATCATAGAGCGAGAAAAAAACATGGGAGAAAGGAAGAAAAAAATTGCTCTATGAAAATAGCGTTGCGCTTTACGCGACATAAGCCTTATTGAGCTCATTTGGTCAAAAATTTGCACCGCTGCAGTGGTATTATGGTGACTGGCAAAAAACCACTTTGGAATTCATTTTTCCCTCTTCAACTCCTCTCTGTGAAAACATAGCAACATTGAATAATGAGTTGTGACCTTTTAGCCAGATTGTTCAACTTTTCTACTGAATAGCAGTTGAGATGCGAATTTCTTACCTAATTCTATTTGTTTCAACTGCTTGAATGACGACTGCAACTGGCGTAATTACCTGTCTTTTCCACTTCAAGTAGTCTCGAAGAATGCCACATTAATCTTTTTTCAAAACTCTGAATGCAGATTTATTTCTTTCCTGTATATGCATAGAACTGGAAGAAACGCCTGACAAAATTTGAAAAAATCATCAAAATTTCAACAAAACCAACGAAGGCCTCCCCAAATCTTTCTAACACTACCTTGATTCCAGGATTTAGAATTGTGCATTCTTTTTAGATGATTTAAGTAGTTGTGTAATTAATTGAAGTTTTAATTTTCAGGAATTCAGCTTGGCTGGATGGGCTGTTTCTCACACTCCTGCGGGACATGCACCGGTTGTATTCAAATTCCACCGCACACACAAAGTCGATCCACAAGCAACAGTGACCATTTGGTCTTCAGATTCGAATCAAGCTCATGAGCCGCCTGTGAACATTGTTATGAAACAAAAATGGCCTGTTGCTAATGAAATGAAGACGTTGCTCTTGAACCAATCAGGCGAGGTACAGTGGAACCTTGGTTTATCATCTCCTAATTTTGAAATAAGTTTTTTAGGTCCCACATGATAAATTTTCAAATTTAATAAAATTTAAAAAAAAAAATGAAATAGAAAATTACGCTAATTGGTTTAAATTCACTGAATTGAAGCATGGACTAAGCCTTACAAATTCTCTAAAAAAAATATTCAGGAAGCACGGGAAAAATACCTCTGTATGTTTTTCATAGTGTTCTAAAAGTGTTTAATTTACTTTTGAATTCATATTTCGCATTGTTTCATGGCAGCTACTTGCAAATGCAATGATCTTGTAGGTCTCTATGATAATTGCAAAACTAAGAAAACTCGCATGATTTGAAATAAGAGGATTACTTCCCAAATGGAAGCAGATAAAAATGTCAATGCTTTCAAATATTGTAGCTTTTGGCGTCCAGGTTTTAAATCTGCAAACATCCAGTTTTGATTGCTGTGGTGCCATCAATGATTATAGTACGTACATGATGCGAAATAAATATTTCCCGGCAAGCATGATTTTTTTATACATTTATAGGCATATTATTCTCGGGAGGCTTGTTTGTCCAAATAGGATTGTAGATATTTTTATAGCAACACTTGAATTAATTTTGTCAAATATCATCCCAAAAAAAAGAAACAAACGTTTCTACCCTACTCCTTGTCAGCTTCATTTTGTTTCAGAAAGTAGAGCACCCTCATAAAGAATTTATTTCTCAAGAAAAAAACTGTGTTTTAAGTTTTAATGTGTCAGTATTAATTGATACAGAGTCCAGTTGTATTTCAATGTTTAATTTAATATAAATTTTTCTACCTCTATCAAAATTTACCCCTACAACTGCAATGCTGTCTGATGCGTATATAGGACTAAAAATTTAAAACCTTTAGTCACTAAATTAATAGTAAATTTCAATCTTAGTGTAAACTGATGGTGGCAACATAGTGAAAGATTAGAATCGTCAACTGACCTGTTATAATTTTTTCACAGGAGTTCGCCTCGACAGAGCTGAAGAAAGAGCAGTTGTCGACATCCATGTTCCGAGGAGAAAGTTCTACCGGGTACTTCCGCCGGGCAGGAGCTGGTGATGGAGACGAAGAGCTGTATCACCAAAGGGTAATTTTTTTTTTCTGGCACTGATACAACATTCTCTATATTCTTTTGTCAGTTGCGTTACTTCAAATTATGATAGCAGATTAATTATTCGTCCTACTTTCATCGTCGTGTTTTGATTAATTTTTTTATCGGTGGTTGGCGAATAGTGACTTGTGATGGACAGTGATTACTAACTGACTAGTATAATGGCAACATCTCAATACATCAGTGTTTGCTGGTATCAATGTAAGAAAGAAAGAAACTCCAGTGTAAATCTTAGTTCATCATAAATCAAGTTTTGACTTCTCAAACAAAAATTTTTATTCCAAGAAATACTTGTACGCAGTTGATCACCTTGGCATAATTACTGTTAGATAGAGGAGCTTTTTATTCTGTTTACATCAGAACCACTGTTTAATGATAACATATCAAATAATGTTGTTGCTAAAGCAGTCTAAATGAAAGAACTGATGAAGGAGTCCGTTTAGTTTTGAATGGCTAAGTAATATTGACCATAGAATCAAATTTCATGTTGTAGATGTTAATCTCTGTGTAGTGTGAGCAATGGGTCAGTTGCGCTGGTCACAGAATCGTGTTTTGATGCATGATTCTTGTAAATTAGCTGAAAATATTAAGATCCATCTAAACAGCAACTTTCTTCGTTCAATATAAACCGAGAAATTGCCCTTTGAAAAGTCGGGTTTTTGACGTCATCCACCGTAATAGTTACACCCTTGGTTTCTTCCACCTTGCTCTCATCGGTCGGAGTGATGCACATTTCCGCTGGTTATTCAATGTGAAATTCAGATGAAAGCAGATGGAAGAAACCAACAGTGTCCTTACCGCGGTGGATGACATCATAAACCCGACTTTTCAAAAGGCGATATCTCAGTTAATATTAAACGTAGGAAGTTGCTGTTTGGAGGAATCTTATTATTCCTAGCTAATCCGCAATAACTATGCTTCTAAACACGATACTGTGACCTGCGCAACTGACTCATTGCCTATACACACAACGGAACGAAGCCACTTTAGATCATTTTTGAAAGTATATAATCTCCCCTTTATCCTGATCAGTATATTATCTTCGAAAATCCATTCTAGGGATCAGTGGTTTTAAATGTTCATAAATGTAAAACAAAAATAATTCTGATTAAAACACAAGGCCTCCAGAAATGCAATTATCATTGTATCATACAGAGGAAGAAAATGTGAAACCTTGAATTGCCGTCATGTTATGGAGAGCAGAAGGGATTAGTAAAAACCTGATTTTTTTCAGCTCTAATAAGTTGCCAAAATGTCAATATGCTCAATGCAAGTGCAATCCTGTAAGTGAATTTCACAAGCGAAAGTGTAATTATGGAGCTAATTTTGTGAACAAACTCAAGAGTTAATAAGTGAATTTTGCAATTGCATTTATGATCTCACCTAAAAGTTAAGTTTGTGTAAAACTGCCTTACCAAGGCATATGTGGAGCTGTTTGAATAATCGCTCACTAGATGGCGCAAGTTTACTTGCCGCTCGCCAGCAACTGCTTGCCCAAGTCTTGGGCTGGTTTTCATGACCTCTCCGATCTTGGTAGCAGGAAATGCAGGAGGCTGCGCTGCACTAAGGATTGGCCCAATAAGGTCGAAATGCGTCTGCAGTTGCCTTCCTGAATGGTCGTCACCAGTGTTGCACCAAACAGCGTATCTTTTTGAGAGAAAATTGTGTTTATATGAGCTTTTTCCTCTGTATTGAGATCCTCAGCTTTATGCTGATTTTTAACGCACATTGGCTACAAAATTCCAACTAACTGTCTTACGACCCGTACGTCTACGGCAATCAGTTTGTGTTTGCACAAAAAAGTTGGTGTTCATGATTTTGCCTTCACCTCGATCTGCTCATGAGAATTTCCTAATCTCTCCATTATGTCGGGCATATTGATTTTTGTACAAAAAATCAACTAACTTTTTTTGTTTTGCATTCAATGAAATACTCTTTAGTTTTTTACTCTTCCCTCTTTTATCAAGTCTTAAAACTGTTCTGCAAAGTGAAGAAACTGTCTAGAAATGACCCCAGGAGCTTAACTTACTTGAAGAAAAGGTCTTGTTTCCTTAAAAGTACTTCCTACCCTCCTGCAGGGCTGATAAGCACTAAAGTAGCTGTCGTTTCAGTCTGCATGTATTTTTTATCTCTCTTTGCAAAACTTCTAGAATACAATATTCAGAAGGCCTACAGAAAAGCCAATCCTTGGTTCTTAAGCAAGTTCAAAAAGAGCATTTTCTGCTACGTACAGATTTTGCTGATGCAAAAGAGTGCGAAATGTTTTGTACGCAAGCTGCATTATGAGTGGTCTGTGTTTTTTTGTTTTGAGTTATGAATGCTAATTTCTATTTTCCTTTTTTTGTTGCAGGCTCAAGCAGGAGACGACAAATGCTGCGTCATGTAAAAAACTTTTCCACCATACCTGTGTCTATCAAAGTGTCTTTATACTGTCAGTCCTATTTTGATTTAAACTTAAGAATTACTGATGTCTCAAGTACTACATAATTTTTATTTTTTGCACAGATTTTAGCTTTATTTCTTGTTAAGTGTTAAGCCTTTCTCAGATGATAGCCTTTCTATGAAAGGTTTTTTAGCGACCAATAGGTCACATTATCTCATTAAAACAAAGTAGTATCCATTTAAACCAACCTCTTTTTTTTCTATCATCTCCATTAGTTCTCATCAGGGGCCAAAAAGCCATCTTTTGTGCTGAGACCAATAAATCCCATGTGATTAAGGTGTAAACAAAGGCTTCCTTCTTAAACATCGATGAGCTGTTCCTTAAAGTTTTAACCTTGTCATCAGTGCAATTCTTAGATACCTACAGAGAGAATATACTCTGAATACAATTTTTAATCTTTGGTCGTTGGTTGTTGAATTGACTTCTGTAACTATTAGAGCGAAACCATGAACGTTAAATAATTGAATTTCACAAAGGAAACAATCTTCAAATGCCTAAGAGTACGGAGACCAATTTTTTCCTTTTCATCGAAAAATGAAAAAAATGAATCCAAAAGCCTTAAAATTAGGTCATAGGTTATCTCGCTTGCCTTATGTCTTCAACGTCGAGAACCTGAGAAAAAATTATTTTTTTCATTTCAGGAAATTTCATGAAAAAGAGTGGACTATGTCCCTCTTACTCAATATTTTCTCCATGTTTTCAGTTTTCACAATTGCGAGAACAAAGATTTTGGACTATTATATCTAGAGGAAGAAAATGCAGAAATTTTGAAGTTAATTTTAAAATTCACAGCAGACATTACTCCATATTTTATGTTTATTGATACATATTTATAAAAATAGTAGGATAATTTTTGTCCTTATAATTGTAGAAAACTTGAAAACGTAAGAGGATTTTTCTTCTCAGAGTTGGTCAACCCCTCAGCGAAATTCAAAGTGCTGCAATTTCTTGGAAATTTCAGCTATTTTCATATTTTTACCGTGGGATAAAAATAATTACCAATCAAACACTTCAATTTAATAAAATATCGTCATATGATTTTGCATTCCCTGCGTCACATTTTCACCAGTGACTCTGAGCTATTTCAATTTCTCAGGCCTAAAACTATCAATGCTTGTATCTTCATTTATCGTGGCTCTTAAGTGAAGAAAAGAGAGGTTGGATAGGGCACTCTGTTGGCCATTTGCAGTACATTCATATCAATGGGGTGCCTCAATTGTTTACGTTCCTTGTGGGCATAAGTATTGTATAGGGACAGAGATGGCTTTTTTTAATGTCACGATTCTACGCCAAATTAACTTACCAAAAATATCTTTCCAAAAATCGAACGCATACCTATTACATTGACTTTGCATTGACCTAAAATTAGGTAGAGTCGACAGAGGAGAATCTCTATTTTTTCAATTAAGTTCCAATATTTGTTTCACTTTTCTTTCAATTTCCTTTGTTGTGTAACTCACGGACAGTCCATAATTGTATCAAATTCTGAAAGCCAAGATTAATTGAATTGGCTCATGAGAAAATATCTAATAAGCTCCTTCCCATTATCCCAGAGAGTGACTGTTTGGTTAGTGTATAATTGCCAGCACAAAGGAACGTGTCGCCGTTTCAGTATTCATACGAACATTTTATTTTTCCATAGGAGAATCATGTCGTGAATTTTTCTCAAAAGTGTAAACGAAATTCACTAAATATTTCAGTCAGATTCATGCAACTATTCCCCTGTATAAAAAAATGTCAGTAAGAAATACTGGAATAGCGTAATTAAGATACGCACTCTTAAACACTTACATGATACTCATTTAAGTGCTGATTGTGTATTGTTGTATTTTCTTTTCTTTTATCCTTCTGTTCCAACTGTGGGAAGAGCAAGATGTAAAAACTCACAATCCTCTAAAATCCCCTTACATAATAATTATTATCTTGCAGACTTTCTTTTATCCTACAATTGAAATTAATGTAGGTTTTTTCAGTTTTTTTAGAACGGGGAAAGCATTTGGCAATTGAAATTTTCTCATGGGCTGATTCAACATCAATGTACTTATGTAGTCATGCCATATTATGATTTCAGAGTCATTATTTGTCGTTTTAGAAGCATGAAGTTACTGAATGCTCGGAATTCCATTTTCTATTCAGAGCAAACCACTATATTTAAGTGATCTATTTTTTATTGGTATGAATAGATGAATCTAATTCTGCCAATCTTTGGCTGAATTTTTTCACAAGTCAGAAAATTAATGTAGACTTAAGTAATTTCAGATGTAACATCTTTCCTTTTTCTGTTTAAGTTACGTTTATGTTTCAATACTTATGCATCATGCCTTATTGTCAGCTTTTTTAAGAGTACACAGATGCCTCTTAGTGGTGTTTTCTGTAAATAATAATTTTGTATTTAACAGATTTAAAATCAAAATATATTTATTTATATAATTTTTTCACTGGATTTGATACTTTGTGTTGTGGATATCCATACTCATTCAAAAGTAACTTATTTTCCTTGTTTATTCAGGTTCAATTTTTTTCCAGTTCATTTCTCCAGTCATTTTTGTTTTGTATATATTTTAATAGGAAGTATTTTTCTGAGTAGTATCTGGGAGGAAAATGTTGCTATTCATGTTACATCAATACCCAACATAACCAATTTTGCGTTTTTTTTAATTACATCACTCTGTAGAAGTAAGAAAGAGTTAACAAGGCGGCAATATTTGTCCATGGCCTCATAGTCACTGTCCATGCGAGTGATTCTTTATTGTTATCCTCAATAATGAGCTTCTCGAACAAAAACTTAGCTTGCTTGGTTAATGCTCCTTGTAGGCCTGAAAAGAAAGTACTTTTAAAGCAAGTACAAATTAGTATATTTTAAAAGTACTAGTCGTAGCTAAGCATTCCTTGTCTCATGAAGTCTACAACCTGTAGAACGATGGATAACTTAAAACCTATGTACCTTATTTGTAATTTCTCATTTCTTCACCTGCTTCATATTTTGGAAGGATTTATAAATTGATATTAAGGTGCGGCTTTGAAGGTGCAGATTTCTAGCGTGCAAGCCTATGTCGAAGGCATCTCAATCCTATTCGCATTTTGCTAACGCCCTGAATTCTGTACCTTCTTGTCATGAATTTTCGCTAACTCCTCAAATCTGCTGTAGCATTCAATAGTCTTTCATAGACATGTCAAGCTACAGTGTCTAATTTTTCAATTCTAGAAAGAAAGTATTTGTGTAAATTTTGAAGAGTTGCAAATGAGGTACTCGGTTTTGGAGTTCAGCCATCTAGTAATCTTTATCGCTGCCTTATCAGTACTTTAAGTCCCTTAAGAACACATAATCAAGTAGCTCTAAGTTTTCTTTTTTTTTGTATACTTTTAACAGGGGTGTCATGCAATATCCTACATTTTAGGCATGAAATAGCCTCAGTAATTTTAGCATTTTGATTCCTTAGTGTATGGACAATAGGCTGTTTACCGCTGTTAGTAATTTTTTTAAAAAAAAAAAAAAAAAACAATGGAGGAAATTGTTTCTTATCATCTTTGGGTCAAAATATTGTTCTCGCCTCAACCTTTCATCTCTGATCATAACTGAAAGTTTGACTACGTTCGTCTTTAAAGTATATCTCTTTGTTGCAATATTTCACCTTGTTAGGGATTAAAGGGTATCTAAGACATGCCGTAAATAGACATTAACATTCAGATTAACCAAGCTCATACTATAATTCCTGAAATCTTCAGCCGAGTTTTGACATTGTTGTGGCTAACTGGACAAAAAAAGGCATAGGAAATCTTCAACCTGAAATCTTTTGATCTAAATGAGGCACAATAAGAAAAAATGAAGAAGTTGAGGTTTTGGGTAGGACATCCATCACAAATTTTACATTGGTAAAGTTTCACATTATTTTTAATGCTTTACAGTGAAAAGTTTCTATTTACTTGACAAGTTTTAATATCCTCACTGATAATTGAATGCCTTGTTTGGAAAATCCTCAACCTGCATATGCATGCACATAAAAGTCAGAAAGAGAAAAAAATCCACCGAGTTGAATATCTCCATAGAATACTCCTCTGCAAAAAATCAATTAAAAAACCTGCGCTTCTCATCATGGCACGCTCGTTTTCCTAGAACGTCAAGAGATATGTTGCCAAAAATCCTTCACTCATTATGTTTTCCTTAAAACTGAAAGTGACTCAAATATGTCTGAATATTGACAATTTTATTCAGATCACTCAATCCTACTTTGCACAGTGTTCCAAAATTCATGGTTATAAAAACTAAATCTCTCAAGAAGGGTCTGTGATATGTAGATATCCACTGCCCTGCCAGGGAGGAGCTCGTAGTGTTGATGGAGAATCAGCTCAGAGGAAGGAATTCAGGAGGAGAGGAAGGAGTCAAGAATTGATCATGTTTACCAAAAATCTCCCCAATAGAAAAAAATTGTAGTTATTAAATTTGCTCCTCTAAAGAGATTTTATAGTCTGAAAACTCTTGAATAATTTTTCCGTGAATCCTTCTTTAAAACTCCTTACCCTAGATGATAGGATTTTACTTTGAGCAGGGGCTATTGAATCGTTTTTCCAATGTCTAAATGTTACTAGAGCATTTTATCTGTAAGTTTCCACTCTATTTTGAAATCCCAAAGATCAACTTTTTACTTACATGAACACACTTTGTACTTCCTCTCATTGAGGGTTTATTCACAGCCTGAATAATTTTTCGATGAAAGCATTTAATATATAAGTGAATAATGACATAATAATAGTTTTTATTTTACCTCATCCTTTCACCCTCAGTGGCAGGCCGCCCGGAGAGGAGTTTCTCAACATCTTAGTCGAGATGTTTGTATAACAGCAGCAAAAGTAGAAAAACACGAATGTGATGAACCTTCGGAAAGGGTCTTAAGTTGAGTTGCCAAATTTTTTAAAGAGTGACAAAATGCAATTTAGGTCAAAATTACAGACTCGCAGGTTTAGATGCCAATCGATTTTCAAATATTTCAAGAAAATGCAGTCAAATTTAATGTCATAATTTGGATTTTTATCGATTTTATAGGCGTCTCAGGTGAAGGGGGTCAAAACCAGCAACAAAGAGGGTTCCGTCTGAACCCAGCCCCTCAGCTGTCATCAAATACTTGCAAGATAGAAAGGTTACGCTTTTATTTTCAAACATGAGTATGGAGGTATTACTTCAGTTCGAAATACCACAGTAAAACCTTGAAATTAATGTTTCTTTAGGCAAATGATTCTGAATAAACCCTCTAATGCGAAAATACAGGTATCTTAATTTTTTTTGGAAATTAAAAAAAATATGCCGAGAGGGGTTTAATTTTAGTTTTTGTGTTGTCGGACGGCGTCAAGTCGCACTTCAATACAAATGTTTTTGAGTCCTGCATGAACATGGCGAATAAAAGTATTAAGTCTCCTCACAAAACATTCAGCGTTGTTGAACTGTTTAGCACTTCATTTTGGGTTATTGCATCAAGGTCAAGGGAATTCCTGTAGTAGGTTACAAACTTTTTTTCCGCTGATCTAATTTGAGACTTAAAATATAAGCCAACTCTGTTATAAGAGAACATGCCAAGTAGAACAAAATATTACATGTTAGCTGCAGAATAAGAAATGATTGAAATTTTCGAAGCTGAATTGAATGAAACTCCCGCTAAACCATGTCACTCGATTTGCTATGTACAGACTTTCTGTCATATTTTATTTGTTAAATGGAGAATTAATCATCTTTGACTCTTAAAAACTTCCGTGATTTATCTTCTCTGTGTGATGAAGCAAATTTCTAAAGAATTTAGAGGAATGGTGTTGATTTGCTCTCCTTTAAAAACGTAAAATATGGACCGAGATTTTTAGACACTACACACGAGATAAGTGGTTTGGGAGTTTCACCGCAAGTATGTCATATTCCTTAAAGACATTGAGTGAAGTAATAATTTTAATTAAAATAAAATAAAGTTGTGTAAGTCATGTAGTGCCTCTTCTCAAGTTGATAATCACATTACTTGACGCTCGCAAGTGGTGTTGCCCGACAAATTGAAATTCCCTCCTTCAAGTATTTCCGGTTCCGGTTCATTGCCGTTCCGGTCCGTGACCTTAGAGAGGACGCGCATGACGTCACACGCAATTCGCCGCCATTACCTTTCCGTCTCTCCCTCAAGTGTATTTGTCCCCTCTTCTCATGCCGGTAAATCACTTAAAACTGTGAACTATTAGTGAAAAGTGCACTTTATTATTTATTTATCGAAGGTAAGAGTTTTGCTACTTTTGTTTAATGTAATTTGGTACCATTTTGCGTCGGTGCAGTATCCGAAGTCGCGTGACCATTTTTAGGGGTTAACAGGGGGAAGCCTAAATTTCTTTCGGCTCACCCCTTGTAATTTTGATCTTTTTACTTATTCGTCACAATTAACCCCTAAAAATCAGTCTGGACCACTTATTTATCTTTCCAAATTAATTTTTCACCGTTCACCTACTGAATCTACTCAGAGGCAACTCATGTTGTTGGGGCAACGTTGGTTCGCCCTTCAGCGAGAGATGTAGCTACACTAGTATACACTGACTGTAGTTTTGAACCTTTGCCCCTTCCTGTCTGAACTTTCATTCTTAGTGCCCACCATAATTTACTGATTATTAGAATTGTGTCGAACTTTGTTGCCGTTGAGGTTATTAGAATGACTTGTGTACCCTTGGCAGCGAAACTATCGTAAATCAGCACTTACCTTCAAAGATGTATTGTTGATCCCACTTTCATTCCAGTCGCATCCATAATGCAGGCTTGATATTCTGAGTAGTAACCCTCGAAAGTGCGATGCAGATTGTATCTTGTTTTATTATGGTTACTTCAGCACTTATCTACGGCACCCAATCTCATGCCTTTTTTTCAGAATTTTGAGGTTTAAGCAATGGTTAGTTTTGGGCATCTCTCTGCATCTGAAATTGAACATTCGGCAACTGGTTTAATGGTCCGTAGGTACACAACGTTGCTCTTGTAATTCAACACACCAATAGATCTATGAAGGTTAAGTTAAGTGAGCAGCTCCTATCCCGAACTTAGATTACATTTGCCCAGTCGAAGGCAGTAGGTCTCTATTTCCCAGTTAGAGGGTTGATTATACTGCTATGTAGTAACCACCGAGACCTGAATGTTAAGCAAATTAATGGTTTTCTAAGACCTCATTCCTGTAGGGATGGAGTAATCAGATAAACTGCAAAGCGCAAATTTTTGCCGGGAGAGGCCTAACACTCTTCCAGATCACAGCTGCGTTGTCAAAGTTAACTGTTCAGGGCTGTTTGGTATCAGAATTTTGCAATGTTCGGCATTGTTAGGCTTCATTAGATTTACCCTATGACTTGTGTGTTTACTTATGGAAGCCCAATGGGTTTACCAAACCCTCAATGATCTCAGAAGGTCGATGGGACTGCTTGGGTCGGTTTTCGAACAGAAAAACCAAACGGAATTGATAAGTCAGAAAAATTGCGATTTTTCCGATACTGAGATGAGAATCGCAGAAATCATTATGATCATTCTTTCTCGCCGGCCAAACATGTATTTTCAGGAATTTTGAGTTGCAAATAATGTAATTTGCCCTTTTTTTTAAATGAAATTCTCACATCCTTAAGTGCGAAAATCAACCGCGCAGCTATTCGAACACAGGTGTTTCGGCATGTCTCATCATGTGTATTTTAAGGACTATTCCACCTTTTTGCCTGTCTCAAACAACGGACGTTTATGAAGGCGAGTATTATGCCAAAATCAAGCACGCAACTATTCGAACTCCAGTGTAGGTTTGTGGTATCCTGCGAAAATGAAGGAAAATCTTAGCTTTTTGCCTGTTCCAAATTTCAAACACGTTTGTAAGTAGTAGTTTACTACCACGTGTATGTGAATATTACGGTAGCACTGTCATTGAAAACGACGTCTGTTCCCCAGATATGTGTGGTTTTTGTTATTGTGGTGTGCTCCTACATCTGAATTGACATATCGATGGTGAAACTACCAGACCACGTATTTCGTTTGCGGTGTTTAAAAATCTCCGCTCCCATTGTATTTTTTTAAAGGAGAACGAATCAATATGATATTTTGAAATTTTTATGGATTTTTTTTCGCATAGAGAGGAAAAAACACGGAAGTTTTAAAGAATTGACATTGAGTGGTTTTCCATTTAAATAATGAAGTATGATAGGAAGTCCACAACGCCGCAAACTAAGATACGTGGTCTGGTAATTTTACCGTCGATATGAGATTCTCTTCGAGATCAAGCAGGAATGTGCTGTGACTTCATCACACTTTTCTTGGCTTTATTTTTTAAAACATCCTGAAACAACTGACCTCTATTCGCGTCTTTCAAATAAATTTTAAACTTAAGCAACTTGACACTAATAGTTTTCGCAGGAATTTACCACTTATACAGCAGTTTTAGACAATCAACATTGTCCAGAAACTCTGTGTCGAGCACGGTGAAAAATTTGAAAGAATTGGAGAGACGAAGTCAGTGAAAATATGTCAAGGTGTAGCTTTCACCTTCCAGGGCTCAATTCTAAAGTTTATTATTCCTGAAAGACGTTGGCAGGAACTTCAACACTGCTGTGCTAAGAAAGAACGCCGTATGAACATTCAGGAGTTGCCAAATTGCCCCGGATATAAAACGTTTATTTTTGTAGAAAACTATGCATTTTTCCTTTGAAATTTTCAGACGTTATAAATACAATTGCGAACAAAATTGTCTTGAAAAATTGAAGGAAAATATCCACATTTTTCCCAGTAAATAAATTGGGTTTTTATTGAAGAAAATGTGGCAACGTCTGAAAGCTCATACGGCGTTCTTCCGTAGCACGACAGAACACCAAGGCTCCTCTATCGTGGAGAATTAATTTTCTGGAGGCAGGCAATGAAAAAACTGTCAATGACACTTGAAAAGGGTATCAGCCAATAGTGATCCAGGCCCTTAATTAATCGACAACAGTCTAAATGTCTCGAAGCTGTTCCTATTCCTGTTTGCTGTGCCAAGGAAAAGCTCCGTATGAACATTCGAATGGCCAAATTTCCTCAAATAAAAATTTTATGCTCGAGGAAAGTTATGCACATTTTTCTTTAAAATTTTCAGAACCTTGAAGTGAAATTGCAAACGAAATGTTCTATGAAATCGGAAGAAAAATGCCATTAGCTTACCAGAAAATTCGTATTTTATTAAAGGGAATTTGGTAACGCTGGGAAGCTGATACAGTGTTTTTCCTTAGCATAGCAGTAATTAGCAGGCTGGGCGCTGTTCTGTGATTGAGTTTAGCCTTGTTTTAGGTGCCAAAAGTTTCACCATTTTTCAAGCAATGCACAATGCCAGGCCCTAACAAAATCATTTTTTTTTTCAAGTTTTTTTGCTTGTTTGTTTTGACTCATCCCCTGTTGCATTTTTATACTTGGGAACTTTTTTTTAATGAAAGTTCCTTTTCCTACGCAACAGACATTAACAGAAGTCATCTATCGGAGTGATAGCGCTTGTCATTTGTGATATCACTTGTTTGTGACTCGACAGTCTATACACACACGCCCACCCTCCGTAACTCATTTGTAAAGGCCTAATTTGTGTCGTGGTTATAGTCTACTTGGTAGATCATGATTTTTTTGTATGAATGAAACTATTCGTAGCTAAACGCAATGTGAATAAAAAACGAGCCATTGGTGGAAAGAACTTGCAACTTGCTTGCCATTACGATAACCGACCCCTTGAAAACACTTACCGATTCAAGTATTCGATTGTATTCTTATTGATGTTGCCGGCAAGTATTTAATACAGTAATTTAACAGTGGAGTTTCCCTTGATCGGGCCCCATTATTGACATCTTTGATGAATTTTTACGTACCGTGTACGTTATGAAGAGAATCCAGGGGCACAAGGTTCGGAATTTCCGGAAAATTCGGAAATAGCACTGATTTTGAAAGCGCGGTCCGGAAGTATTGATAATGTGCGGAAATTTCGCTTTAAGGTCCGGAATTTTTCATTTTTGTCGCAATATGAGAGGGAAATTTAATTTTTTGAAATTTTTTCAATTTCGTCATAAACGGAGGTACTGAAAAAGTACTGGATTTTTCCATCGAGGATATACTTAATTTCTCGGGAATGTACAGAAAAAGGACCGTTAAAGTACTGAGTTTGAGGCAGCTTGTTTTAGTAGACACCCTGTGCGTAAAAATTCATCCAGGGTGTGAAGTAATGATATGCCCATGAAAATCAGCCATCGGCTAATGGAACTTGCGTTGAAACGCGTAATGCTGCGTTCCTATTGAAAAGTATCCTATTGACGCAGATCTTCAGTAAAAAAAACCGGGAAATATCGGTAGTCCTCCCCCCTTCAAGTCTTTGTCAACTGCGCTATTATCAGCCGGAAAGAAAGTTTTTATGCAGTATGTGATGAATAGGGAAAATCTCTTTAAAATTACATGAAGATAGGGTATCTATTTTCACGTGTGAGTGGGTGAGAGTAACTTTTTAGCCAGGAACACCCCCCGTCGCTCAAAAGCACCTGAAGTTCGATAGTAGCACCTAATCATCCCCCCTCCCCCGAAGTAACCCACATGTACGAGACACTAAACGAGGAACGCTGAAAGTGTGCCGTTTCCGCAAAGTAATTACCCCTGATGAATAAGGGGTTTTTTCCCTCTAGTGATGAATAAGTGACAAAACTACTCCCTCCCTTGGGATCGGGGGGGGGGGGGGGGGAGGGGGTCGCCATCCCAAGAGGGAGGAGCCGGTGTCTATGTCGTGTCGAAGCAAATCGTCACGGGAGCCCCGTATGAAAACATTACCCATAATGCATCGCGAAAGGGCCGCGGCACGGAGAATGAAATATTTCTAATGTAATTGCTCGTAATAACTGGAAAAGGCTGCCTGCATTCCACCTATCATTTCCCCAGCAGCGCCGCCGCCAAGTTTTTCGTCATGAATATTGATCGCGCCTTCCGCTCGCCGTGCGACGATTTGCATGTCCGGGACGGTGCGGCGGGTTTTCCGAGGGAACTATTTTGTAGTTCGTGCGGACACTTGAAATTGCATGTCGATAACTATTTTGTAGTTCATGCGGACACTTGGAATTGCATGTCGATACTGTTTTATTTTGAGAGTGGGCGGAGGCGAGCCCTGTCCTTGTGATAACTTGAATTGGACAGCATTTCGTAATTTAGAATTTTAATTTCTGGCTCATCCGTAAAAACACTTAATTGCATGGGAAACTAATGGCCCATACGTTGTTTC